TATTTTTTTTTTTGGGGGGGGGGACTGTGGAGGGAGAAGATGAATGAACCAAGGATGCTGATCCTCCAGAGCGCAGTCCGAGAGACTTCTTACGAGCGCCGCACAGTGGATCGAGTTAATAGGAGAGGTCGGACGAAATTTGAAAACTTCAAACGCCTATAACTCCGCGTATACAAAACTTTAAGGTTCTAAAAGTGGTGCCATTGGTTTTCTCATGAAATTTTCTTCAAGAAGCACCCCTTATAGTGTAAAATGTGACGAAATGAACATGAAAATTCGCAGTTTTTGTCCAAGATTTAATGTCCGACCCTTCTAATTGACTCGATCCACTGTGCGCCGTATTGCGATGCTGATCAGGTTACTAGCAGTGGCGTGGCGTGCTTTGCGATGTATCATTTGATCTGCCATTTAAACCTATGGAAAAGTATCGATGAACAGGGTAAGGCAAGGAACAGCTTAATAATCGATTCTTTACCACAGCTTCAAACGGAAAAATATCGATAATCGATCGATTACGCTTCGCCACTGGCTACTAGTTCATTGCGCAGTGTTCTCCTCGCGGTTTTATTCGAAAAGGGTAATTTTAAACCTGCCAAGCGCCATCAGAAGTCGCAGAAATTGCGATATTTTTTCCTCGGCGTGGAAGCTCTTGGGTGCTTCTTCCTTATCATCGATGTTTTTCCAACCCTACACTCTTATTTTATTCCTAATTCAAAGGGAAGATCCATCGTCGAATTTTGGTCACTGAATCGTCGTCGAAAGAAAGTGACAGTTGCATAATCTTCGTAGCCGCTTATAACGCTCAACAGGTTTTTAATTCCCATTTCTCGGCTATGCCTACGTATTTACCGAAAGGATAAACTCGAAAGTTTATCTATTGGCGCTGAAAGTATAATATACACGTCGGACGCCACCTCATTCTTTGCTCTATTCTATCGTGCACGCTGCGCGATTGTTTTTGTCTATTAAAAAATAAAAAAATGCAATTGTAAAAATTTCCTTAGGAAACGTCGCCAAGATCCGCAATTATTCTAGACTTTCACGGCGCTTAAGGGCTTGAGACCTTAGAATGAAATCGCATTTTATCGCAATTTTGTATCCGATAATATTGTAATAAATCGACATCGATAAAATCACGATACATTCTCCGATAAAATCGCAACTTATCGTGATAACTGTTTTTTTTTTTTGGGGGGGGGGGGCGTACACCGAGGAATTGATTAAAAAGGGTGAAAAAAATACTGCAGGATTAGACGGGATTTTGCGTTTATTCTTCCGTTGATAACGCCTTTTTTTGTGATGGGGGAGGGGGGCTCTGAATTCGAATCCAAACATCTCTATATTTTAGCTAAAAGTGTCAGTCTTGTCATCTTAAATGACTTTAATTCATGGTTTTTGTCCCCCTTTTAATTTAGCCTCCAAACATTGCTCTGAAGAAATTACTGCGTGGAATGATTAAGTATTTCGCGCTACATATTGGGAAATTCGGTTAGGCAATGGTATCATCTTACCTGGCATTTAATCAAGTTTATTTGGCCAAAATTTCTCGGGAGTAAAATCGGGTTGTATGATTAAGTAGCCCGCCAGTAAGGCCGTAAATCTGTTATTTTTTATCCGTAGCTTTTAGTTTACTCGCCCACAAATTCAAAACTAACTTATATACACACCATTCAAATCTGCTGGATGCATGTCAAGTGCACATGACAGTTCGACGACCACTGCCTTAAAGCAACACACC